AAACTGTTTCTTTAAAAAGATCAATAAAATCTAGACTCTAGCCAGTCTAACTAAGGAAAAAAGAGAGAAAACATAAATTACTAATATCAAAAATGAAACTAAGGGCATCATTACAGATCCCAAGATATTAAAAGGATAATAAAGAAATGCTGTAAATAACTCTATGTCCACAAATCTGATAACCTAGATGAAATGGACCAATTCCTTAAAAGACACAATTTCCCAAAAGTGACACAAGAATAAATAATCTGTATCTTTTTATAAAATTAAATTAACATAATAACCTTCCAAAACAGAAAGCACCAAGCACAGATGGGTTCATTGGTGATTTCTTCCAACCATTTAAGAAACAAATTATATCAATTCTCTATAAACTCTTCCAGAAGATAGAGGCAAAGGGAATACTGCCTAATGCACTCACGGAAGCCAATATACCAAAACCAAATAAAGACATTACTAGAAAACTACAGATTGATTTCTCTCATGAACGTAGATGCAAAAATCCTCAATAAAATATTACAAATCAAATACAATGTATAAAAAGAATTAGACACCACAAACAAGTGAGGTTTATTTGAGGTATACAAGGCTGATTCAATATTCAAAATCAATTAATGTAATCTGTGACATCAACAGGTTAAAAAAGTAAAGTCACATGATTTGATCAATAAATGCAGGTAAAGCACTTGACAAAATCCAACACCTATTCATGATAAAAACTCTCAGCAAGCCAGGAATAAAGGGAAATTTCCTCAATTTGATAAGGAGAATCTATAAAAATCCTACAGCTAGCATCATACTTAATGGTGAGAAACTCAAAGCTTTTCCACTAAGATTAAGAATAAGTCAAAGATCTTCTCACCTCACCACTCTTTTCAATATTGTACTGAAACTCCTAGCTAATGCAATACGAGAAAAAAAAGGAAATAAAAGGTATAGACGAGAAGAAATAAAACTGCCTTTCTTAGTAGATGACACGATCATCCATGTAGAAAATCCAAAAGAGAATAATAAAAAAAAAATACTCCTGGAACAAATAAGTGATAATAGCAAGATTGCAGGGCACAAGGTTAACAAACAAAAGTCAATCACTTCCCTATTTACCAAACTGAGAAAGCAGGATTTGAAATTAAAGACACATTACCATTTACACTAGTGCCCGCCCCCCCAAAGTGGAATATTTAGGCAAAATTTAACAAAATATGGACAAGATGATATGAGGAAAACTACAACACTCTGATGAACAAAATCAAAGAACTAAACAAATTTGGGTATATTCTATATTTATAGATGGGAAGATTCAGTATTGTCAAGATGTCAGTTCTTTCCAACTTGATCTAAAGATTCAGTGTAATCTCAATGAAAATCCCAACAAGTTATTTTGTGGATATCAACAAACTCAATCTAAAGTGGGGGAGGGTATGTGCTATTGTGAGTGCTATGAATTGTGTAAGACTGATGATTCATTGACCTGTACATTATGTGTTAATTAAAAAAATAAAAAATAAAGAAATAAAGTTCACATGAAGGGACAAAGATCCAGAATAGCCAACACAATACTGAAGGACAAAGTCAGAGGACTTGGCCCTACCTGACTTTAAGACTTACTCTAAAGCTACAATAATCATTGCAATGTAATATTGGGAAAAGAATTTTAAAAACCCAGATCAATGGAACAGAATAGAGAGCTCAAAAACAGATTGAACAACTAGATATCTACATGTCAAAAAACTTAATCTAGATAAGACCTTATACCTTTCACAAAAATTAACTCAAAATCACATATCTAAATGAAAAATGTAAAACTATAAAACTCCTAGCAGGCAACATAGGAGAAAATGTAGATGACCTGAGGTATGCAGATGACTTCAGATATAACATCAAAGGCAAGATCCCCGAAAGAAATAATTAATAAGCTGGATTCCATTAAAATTAAAATTTCCACTCTGCAAAGAACACTATCAAGTGAATGAGAAGATAATCCAGAGTGGAAAAAAGTATTTACAAAATATCTGACAAAGGACTGTTAGCCGAAATATACAAAGAACTTTTTTTTTTTTTTTTTTTTGCTTCTCTCTATTCATTTTTTTTTTTTTTTTTTTTTTTCCCCCCCCAGATTTAAGTTCTACTTGGCTAACACACAGTGCAATATTGATTTCAGGAGTAGAATTCAGTGATTCTTCACTTACATACAACACCTAGTGCTCATCAGAACAAGTGCCCTCCTTAATCCCATGCCCCACCCACCTCCCTCCATCAACCCTCAGTTTGTTCTCTATCATTAAGAGTCTCTTATGGTGACTGTGGACACCAAGAAACAAACTGAGGATTTTAGAGGGGAGGTGGGTGAGGGGATGGGTTGGCCTGGCTATGGGTATTAAGGAGGGCACGTATTGCATGGAGCACTGGGTGTTAATAAGTAAACAATGAACCTTAGAACACTATATCAAAAACTAATGACATACTATATGGTGACTAACATAACATTGAAAAAAAAAAAGAAATTACAATGTTCAAAAAAAAGTCTCTTATGGTTTGTTTCCCTTCCTCTCTCTTTCTCCCCCCACCATATAGTCATCTGTTTTGTTTCTTTAATTCCACATATGACTGAGATCACATGGTATTTGTCTTTTTCTGACTGACTTATTTCGCTTAGCATAACATACTCTAGTTCCATCCACATCAAAGCAAGTGATAAGATTTCATTCTTTTTGATGGCTGAGTAATATTCCATTGTAGATCTATATACCACATCGGCTTGTTCCATTTATTAGTCAATGGACATTTGGGCTCTTTTCATAGTTTGGCTATTGTTGATAATGCTGCTGTAAGTATACAAAGAATTCTTAAAACTCAACAATAAAAAAATAAGCAACTGAATTAAAAAGCAGGCAATAAACAAATACCTCACCAAAGAAGATTTATAGACGGCAAATAAGCATATGAAAGGATGTTCATCATCATGTCATTAGAAAATGGCAAATGAAAACATCGATGAGGTACCACCGCAGACTCCATGGAATGGCCAAAATCCAGAATACTGAAAACACCAAATGTTGGCAACTATGTGGAACATGAATTATCATTCATTTCTGGTGGGAATGAAAAAATGATGCAGCTACTTTGGAAGATAGTTTGGCAGTTTCTCATGAAACTAAACACCATATGAAATGGGTCTATATTTTTTACATATAACTTACTGACCTTGAAGATTTCAACAATGAAAGAGCTACATCAAATATAATAGCATGCCAATTTCTGTAGGGTAGGAAGAATTTAGCCATGAAATTACTAGTCATTATTTCTGGGTTGGAAGAAGACATTTTGGGTTAAAGAAGTCCTCAAAGTAGCTGGGGTAAAATAGGTTGTTTGTCTCTAAGATCTTTGTAAAATATCTAAATAATGGCTAATTACCTCTCAAAATAACTTTGAAACAAAGTAAGAAGCTGAATATGTACTAGAGTTTACCCTGGAAACTAAGCAAGGACTATAGTGTCTATTTTGGAGATAGTAAAGAATAAGAAGTGAGTGAGCCTATTATGGCAAAGGCTGAATTCCTGGAAGTGTCTTCATGCCCTTCCATTCTGGCTTCTTCAGGGATAAGAATCAAGTCTTTAGGCATAGAACTGTCTATAATCAGACTGAATTACATCAAATTCTGCATGCAAAAATCATCAGATTTTCAACAAGAAAATGGGTCTGCTGCAAAACCAATGAGAAATAACCCCCCTCCATATTCTCTAGACAAGCAAGAATATCAAAGGACCCAGACATAAATATGCTAGCACATACAACAACAAAGACATAGTTCCATATTTATTGAGTGTGTCTACTGCTAATGTGAAATGGTTACAATAAACTTTAAAAAATAAGACTATATTACTTCAAGATATTCATATTAAAAACTAAAAAAATTAGTATTTCAAAGTTTATTTTGGTTATACAAGAAAAATGTATACTCTGTGTAAATAATAAAATTGTATGCGTGACAATACAGTGAGTTCAACCTTTACTTATAATAAACTAAGACATATTTTCAGCACAAGGAATAAAATCACATTTATGGTAATAAATGTCTCTTTTCTCAGTTTCAGAGTAAACCAGAGTAATGGGCTTGTCATTCTTTTCCACTATGTTTAAATCTACTTATTTCTTTTAAAATCTAAACTTAGGTAGCTAAGTTAATATTTAAATTTTTCCCAAATAAAATGTTCTCACATCTAAGTTTTAAAAAACATATATTAAATTCCAAAAAGAAAAAAATGTCATGCTTACTTTAAAATTCAGTCAGTGCTAAAATGATAGATCTTCCCATAATCTACTTTAGAACTTAAGATGATAATTATTATCACTAAGAACATATTTAAGTTTATTCAAAATCATCATTTTTTCTGTGACAGTTATATTGAGTTAAAAGTGTGTCCTACCTACTATAATTCCTATGATGAATCCATTTAAAAAGCTATGTACAAACCATAATATTTATGATTCAAGAGAACTTTCTCTGAAAATGACTTGAAATCTTATATTTTTTCACCTCATTAAAAAAGTTGAAGATTGTTTTTATCTCTGCCTTGAATTTCTTTAAAAACAAAAACATTTTGAAAAACACTTTGTTCTGAAAGAATGCAGCGTATGCAAGTGAAAGTTTCACCCCAGAAATACGTTTTAAGGCCACAGCTTCTAATTTTGAAATATATACTTTGAAATACACAAGAGAACTTATGTAGATAGTTGAAGGGTAAAGAAGATGATAGAAGTGCTAATGAAAACTCTTGCATTTAAATAGAATGTATGTTTAGTCGCTGAAAACAGTTTCAAAGGGCAAAATACATACTATTAATCCATACAAAAATTTTTTTTCAGGGGACAAAGATATATTATATCCCCATGGAGAGAAAGAGAGATTTTTTTTTTAAAACGTGCAAATATATTTTGGAAAGTGTGCATCTGAATAAATCCTCATGTTGGGGTGGTAAAGAATAAAAAAGCTCATATACCCTGTTTGGATAGGTGGCACATTTCCAGTCTTTGCTCAAAGGAATATCCATAGAGGAGGCGGGCTTCTTGTAGTGCACTTTTATACCATTTCTTTTTTTTCTTACATTTTTCTGGCTAAAGAAACACAGAAAAATAGTGAGACTCATTTCTAAACATATTATTTTGTTTTAATATCTACTTGATTTAGCTGTTGAGCTGGAACTAATCTGATTGAAGCATTATACCATATATTACTTAGACTTTTATATAGGATTATTATTATTTTAGAGTATACCAAGGTTGGGGAAATCTTGTACATTAAAAGTCAAAGGGTCAGATTCTTGATTCACTAAGATAATATTTTAATATGATTCATTTCACACTTTAAAAAGTCACAAAAAGACCACCAATGTAACAAAGTAGTCAGTATTAATACATCTTATTAGAATAACTTGATTCTCTTTTAAGAGCAATGATCCTGAAGTGGTATAAAATGAAAAGCCAGGCTTCTTATTGTCAGAAAGTTAATTCTATTCACATCCAGCTTTTGTGTTATGACAGGCAGGTGAAATATTCATACAAGTTCCTTAAACATTTGCCCCAATTTCTTCATCTGTAAAATGTGGATAACAGTATATTCATCATAAAGTTTCATAAGTATTAAGTGAAATAAAAGATGGCAGTTTTCTGGCCTATTAAGCACACAATAAATACTATTCTACTTGAATTCAGTACTTTTTCTACATATAAAGTAATTTAAAAAATATTTTGAAAACAGAAACAAGAGTAAAAAAGTCTCTATGCTAAAAATGACTAAAAAAATTATGTGGTCCAATAATTTTTCCAATGTTATTTTAGAATATGCCTAAAGAGATTTTTTTTTAAATTTTTAAGTAATCTCTATGCCCAGCCTGGGGCTTGAACTTACAACCCAAGATCAAGAGCTGCATGCTCTACTGACTGAGCCAACCAGGCACCCAGAATTTGCCTGAAAAATTTTTTATAATGTTTTTATAAATATTACAATTTATAAAATGCTATACCACCATTTTCTTTTTGGAAACTGTACCATCAAAAAGAATACAGGTTTTTATTGCATAATTCCATATTTACCACTTGCATATAATGATCAGATATGTAATTCACTTTATACAGAAATGTAAATCTATGTAACACCTTATTTAGTTCATTCAGAGAATGAAACCATCTACATATTTAAAGCTCTTTTCAAATTCCACCTTATTCCTAGAATTCCCAAATTAATATAAGCCATCTGTTCCATTACACTTAATATTTTCTTTTAATCATTTACTACATTCTGACTTGTATTATAGTTATTTGTATTCATAACTGCCCCCACCCATAAAATGAAAGGTCCTGAAGACAGAGGCAATAAACAGCATTTCATCTTCGTGTCCTCAACAGTACCCATTTGTCGAATCTCATTGTGTATAATGTAAGCAATCAGAAAGTGGTTGTTAAATTGCATGTTGTTCTGGACACTGATTTGATATAAAAGCCATCAAACAATATAATCAAACAAAAATCTATTATTTTAAATCTACTTTTGTGCACAGAATATTTACATTTTATTCATTAATAGAAAAAGAGATGAAAATATAGGTAGATACAATTCAAAAAAAAATTAGAAACTATAAACTAAGAATATCTAAGCTAGTGTCTGCAAATCTAAGGTCTTCCTACAACTCAAATGTTATAATGATGCTAAATAAAAAATTAGTGAAAAATAGCCTAGAAGCTGATATGGCACTAAATGACTGACGTTAAGGAAATTTCTTGAGAAAAACCAATACTGTACACAGCTAAAGTAAACTTTGGTGAGTTTGGGGAACTAAACACTTTCTTAAAAATCTGTGTTGGAGATTCTTTGAGAATTTATCAGTAAATATGTGCCATCTAGTGGTGATACAACTAAACATCTTCAAAGAAAAAAAAATTAAGACTATTTATAAAGAATTTTGAATTCCAGAATTAGGCTTAGCTATGCATTATATTTTACAACTAAAGAAATGATAGGTGCATATCCTAAAGTGTAGACTGTGCCTCCCTACCCATTCCTGGTAATGTTTCTCCCACAGGTGCCCATTATTACCAATTTCTTTCATAGTCTTTCAGAGATATCGTATGCATCTACAAGCATATCATTTATATAAATATAGCTCATTTTACAGAGTGTTGTGAATAGTTATATATACTTTTGAGTTTTTCAATTTGTCTTGCAGATCACTTCATTTATTGATTGATTCAACATATTCTAAATCCTTGGGACCTATCATTGAAGAAAATGGATAAAGCTGACATTTATTCTAGGCACTGAAACAGACAACCTATAATAAGCATAACAAATCAATAAAGCTTACAGTATGCTGTAAGAAGTTATAAATTCTATGTAATAAATAAAAGTTAAGGCAATAAAGTAGTCAGGGTAACTCTCATTGGAAAGGTGACACTGAGCAAAGACAGGAAAGAAGTCAGGGAGTTAGCCACATCAATATTCCAAGAAAGAGTACTCCAAGCAGAGGAAAAAAATACTCTAAGGTGGGAGAATACAAGTGTATTCAAAAAGCTTTGAGGAAGCCAAGCTGGCTGACACTAAATGAAGAAGGAGAGTGACAGGAAATGAGGTCACAAAATTAACAGGGGTCAGATCATGGAGGTTCTTTCAGGCCACTGTAGGGAATTTGTCTTTCATTCTAAATAAAATGGGAGCCTCATTCCACAGTTCTGAGCTTGAATAACATTTGATTTGATTCAATTTTTTTTTTTTTAAGCTTTAAAGTTTTGGCTTTTTTTTTTTTTTTTGAAGATTTTATTTATTTATTTGACAGACAGAGATCACAGGTAGGCAGGGAGGCCAGCAGAGAGAGAGGAAGGGAAGCAGGCTCCCTGCTGAGCAGAGAGCTCGATGCGGGGCTCGATCCCAAGACGCTGGGATCAGGACCTGAATTGAAGGCAGAGGTTTAACCCACTGAGCCACCCAGGTGCCCCTGATTCAATGTTTTAAAACAATCTCTGATTGTTTTGACCAGAATAGACAATACAGGGGCACATAAGATATAAGACGACCAGCTACTGCAATAATCCAGGCAAGAAACGAAGGTGGTGTAGACCAGGGTAGTGGCAGCCGCCGTGGTGAAAAGTGGTAGGATTCTGTACATAATTTGAAGGTAGAGCAAAAGGAATTTTTGTCCAGCTGGAAACTGGTTGTAAGGGAAAGAGAAGATGACTCTTAAGGCTTTTGGACTGAGCTAGTAGAAGGATGAAATTTGCTGTCTATTGAGAAGAAAGTTATCAAGAGTTCAGATATATTGAGTATAAGATATCTATTGCCACATCCAAGTGGAGATCCCAAGAGGAGGGTGGTAAGGGAATTCAGCAAAGAGAACAGAACTGTAGATAAAATTTAGGAATTGTTCACATGCATGTGGTATTTAAAGCCAAGGAACTGGAAGAGATAACCAAAGGAATGAGGAAATAATATGTATGTATATCCACATATATGCTATGTATATATCATTATTTATTTGACAAATGTCCTAATAATGAACATTTTAGGGTATTTCTAATACCATGCAATTTGAAACAATGCTGTAATAAAAAAATTTGTCCATAGGTCACTTTGCCCATGTGAAAGTGTACTGAAGAATAACTTCCTAGATGTTGAATTACTAGGTTTGAAGTATGTCTATTTTAAATTTTGGAAGTAACTGTGAATTCACTCTTGAATGAGGTGCTCACAATTTTTAATACCATAAACAGTATGTTTCCTCACATCCTGGAGAACACTTCTGTTACCAAACTTTTAGATCTCTGTCAATATTTTAAGGGATATATGGTATTTCTTTTTTTATTATCATTTTCATTTCTTAAATTTCATAAGTATGAGAAATTTTAAATACTTTTGCCGTTTGAGATATAATTGACATATAACTGTAAATTTAAGAGCACAACATGATTGGATACGTGTATATCTTATAAAATCATTACCACAAATAGGGTTAGCTCTTACCTTCATAAACTCACATAACTTTTGTGAGTGTGTATGTAGTAAGAACACTTAAGATCTACTTTTTTTTAGCAAGTCTATAATATAGTATTATTAACTTTAGTCTCCATGCTGTACATTCGATCCTGGAACTTATCCATCAATTTTTCACATTTTTAAAAGTCACTTTATTTTCTACAGAATGATTGTTCAAGTCTTGTGTTCATATTATATTGGTCTTTATCTTAATGGTTTGTAAGAGATTTTTATAAATTAAAAAACTAATGCTTTGTTACATGTATTGTAAATATCTTCTCCTGTTGACAATTTATCTTTTAGATATTTGTATTGTCATTTTTGTTCATTTAAATCTTTCATCCTTCCAACAGTAATTTGAGTGCAAGGTATGAGGTATACTTCTTTATTTTTTTCCCAAGTAGCTAGCCATTTGTATTCACAGAATTTATTAAATAATAAACTTTAATGATTTGAATATAACCTTACCCACCAGCTATATTTCCAAGAATTCTGGAGTCTGTTTTTGGACCTTATATTGTTCTGTTTGTCTGTTGAATCACTTTTAGTACCAAACTACTTAATTACTAGAGTTTTATTTTAATTTTACATTTTATAGGCCTAACTCACTCTTCTATATTTAATTTTCCTGTATATTTTAGTACTCATCTTAAGTTCTTTTTAAAAATTGAGATTGCTTTAAAATTAATTTAGGGAAAATTGATATCTTTCCGTATTTAATTTTCTAAACCAAGATGAGGATTTTATCTTTCCATTTACTTAGGTTTTATTTTCTGTCTCTTAGCAAAGTTTTATTTATACAGCTCTTACATATGCTTCTTAAGCTTATTCCAGTGTATCAGGTATGTTTTGTTGCTATTATAAATGGGGACTTTTAATCCCCTTATATTTTCACACTGATTACTCTGTACAGTAATTTTATAACTGCCACATAATTGAATTTTCTTACTGCTTATAATGGTTTTTTATTTGAGTTCCATGGGTTTTCCAGGTAAACAATCATCTACTAATAAAGGTAACTTCGCTCTTTTTCTTTCCTGTATGTGCACTTTTGCTTCTTTCTTTAGCTAACTGTATTAGCCAATTATACCAA